AGGAAGAATGCAATTATGTGACTAAGTGGGAATAACGCCTGCTAATTAGCTTTCGTCAACTAATAGATAGGGATGTCTTGTCCAGACATGTTCACAAGGACTCTTGTTAAGTATTGTCAGAAGGTCGTAGAATGTAAAGACGACCTGGTTGTTTCGATCAAAAAAAAATACAAGAATGAAATAATAAAAGAAAAGATGGAGACAAAAGCACACACATGTAAATATACAGAGAGGCGTATATCCTTAACAAAGGATGATTTGAAAACGAGGCATGCACTCCATGATAAATGGTGACGGGAGAACTCAACAAATAACGACATTATTTACACCATTTATATTCGGTGTATTGTCCACTAGTTCTTATTTTCATTTTTATTTATTTCCGTCTAGTTTCCCCTTTTCTACTGACTGAAAGTACACATTGCCCGACCCAGGGATTAAACTTCAATGGCCTAGTGGTTTGTGAATTTGATGACATAGCCATTGTGAATTCAGTCACTGGGTCGATCAGTATGTAATTGCACTCAGTCGAAACGGACGAGCAGTACTGAATAAAAATAAACAAGTTCCACTCGAACAGCTTCTTTCCACGAACTGCTGCTCTGCGCAACTCCTATGTGGGTGCTTCCCCGATCACTACAATCTTAACCTCCTCAAGTCTAGAATTAACCATTATCTTCCCCTCCTACTCCTACTTCTACCTCGAGTGGCTCCCGGGCCTTATACAAGGTGAATCTTACTGTTAAAAAATAGAACCTAGGCGATATCCCTAGACATGAGTAGTAGAACGAGAACAGTTTACCCCCTTAGATTAAATAGAGGGTTCAATTTAGAATTTTCTGCAGGTTAACCAGATCGATATACACCTGAGGAAGGCCGTGAGGCACAACGGCCGAAACGTTATGATAAAAACAACAAAGATGAGGACAATAGTTCAAATATAAAAAGTGTGAATATGATAACTCCTCATACTAGAAATTCAAACAAAAATAATATATTTAAAATTTATTTATTTGTAAATTGATTCAATTATTTTTTTCTTTCTGGTAAATTCATCGATCACTTTGTTATAAAATGTCTCAACATCATTTTAATTCCTAATCCCAATCTATTTTCATTTTAAAAACAGACACCTGTCTCGATAGTAAGTCTGATTAGTCTGATAAGTTCAAATTCGTTGCTGATGACAAAAACGACCTTCAGTCAGTTGTTAACTGGGGCAAAGAATGACTTGTTAATTTTAACGCTAAACCGCTCCTTATTAATCATCTGAGAAAACCCTTTCTGCCTTATGCAACTGGAATTTATAAACATGGTAAGATATCATTCATATACAGGTTCGGGGTTGGTGTATCTTGTTTGCGAAGATGTATTCTCGCCATTTAAATCATTAACCTCTATATTTGTTTTATATATATATATATATATATATATATATATATATATATATATATATATATATATATGAATATGTATCTAAGTTGTGACGATGTTTTACATCCCTATTAGATTAACGTTTATTCTGAGATTTTAGCTTTTTTATTAAAACAAATAAATAATAAAATATATGTATTCTTTCCTCAGTTTCTTTTTTAAATAACTTTATATTTTAAACTTAATACAGATTAAATTTAAAGTTGGTAATTTTCAATTTTATAGTAAAATTGTATATTAATTAGAATGTTTTCTATTTTAGTCTAATCCTAATATTAAGCATTAATTCTTATAACCAAGGTTTGCTGTCAAGTGTTTTGAATTCTCATATACTTGTATTTTGATTGGTCATTACAGCAAATGTAACAGCGTTTACCCTATCGTTTGGTTGATTTGAACTTTTTAAAACTCTTCATTCTACATTCAACACTATCACTTTACCAGAAGTGTTGAAACAAAATGGCTATTTTTGTAGTGATTTTATAACAATATTTATGTTATAATTTTCGAATAAATTATGTTTGCTCTACTCTGTATTGAGAAGATTTTAAGAATAGCATTTTTGGTTATTGGATTTATTCCGTATACACCAATCCTATACTTGGGAATATATATATATATATATATATATATATATATTAAGAAATGGACAAGGTCCGACAATTTATTTATTAAAGACATTTTTTTTTTTTTTTTTTTATTTAACGTCGTTATTTTTATAGATGCAAGTATTTAAGCAAATGCTCTGTTTAAGATAAACAGTATTAAATAACATTTACCGGCCTGAATGTCCGAGAAATTTTCATAGAAAATATTCGTCCTTTGACAGGATTCGAACCTGCATCCTATACGGAACCGTCATATACGCTGACGTGCCTTACCTCTAGGCTACAAAGAACCTTTTCGGTAGACAAGGTCGAATTTACTGCTTATAAACTTCAATCTTCAATGAATCTCGTACATTCATAACTGCTCTGGCGTATCAAATGTAAACAAATGACGTCATATATTAAGAAATGGACAAGGTCCGACAATTTATTTATTAAAGACATTTTTTTATGTTTAA